ACTCTGCGATAAAAAAAAACTTTCATTTTGGAGAATTATGCCTCAGGTTTTCTAGCCGTCTGATTTGAAAGAAGAGAAGGAAATAAATAAAATTATAAAAGAAAGATTTCAAAGGTAAATGGAGATTAATCTGGCCCACGAGAATATACAATAAGCAACTGGATAAAGTGAAAGATTATAATTGATCATGTCGGCTAAACATTGTGTCATAGATAAACCAATAAACAAAATTACAAATCCAGCAGCTCTTTTTGATATTTTTTAAATCAAAAGTTCAAACCTGAAAGGTACAAAGCAAGTTAATACAATGCCGCTTTAATTAGCAAAAAAAATAATGCCGCTTTTAATTAAGACATTCTTGGTTTACCGCGCTAACAAAAATAATCTCGATCATAATATTCTGCATCGCTAATATCACCATTGCGAGAATATGTTAATATGTACTAGCATAAACAAAATTAACTAACGATAAAAAGATCCGTAAAATAAAATTTTCACATAACAATTCCTATATTATTATTTATTTATGTATCAAATAATATATTACTATTTACTGTATAAATAATTTCTATATTATAATCAAGTAACAGATAGATGCGGACCTATATTGTAAAGACAAGGATTATTGGCATCTGAAAAGTTTGATAAATTTAAAAATAGTGATATTTTCGCAGTTACACCCTATATAAAAAATAGATTTTAAAAAATAGTGATATCTTTCAAACCGTAAACCCTGAGTAATTGGCCTTTGGTAAGAGACAAAACGACCCTAAACAAAAGTGATCAGATACATCCCCTCAGGCCTTAGAAAAAAACAAAAAACAAAACACAAAACAATTAAAAAAGAGAAAAAGAAACAAAACAAAACCTAAGGCAGCAACCTGGATTATTCTCAGGGCCAACACCAAGTTGATGAAAAGCCACCAAAGCAAAGAAAGTGACTCTTTGCAAATTGCAAGTTGTTAGAATACTTGCTTGCCTTGTTTGAGTTGATATTGCATGTCAAGTTAAGCAGTTATTATACTGTATATAGATATCTCTAGTCATAAGTTTTATTTCAGAGGCCAAATAATGATTTAAAATTTATGAGTTCAGGGTTTTAATCGTTTTAAGTTATTGAATTTTAAATTAATAATTTACATATATATATTTAATAAATTTTTAAGACAAAAATAAGGTTCGAATCAAAGTTACTAGATTCGACGGAAACTACTCTAAACGGTCCAGCTCCGCCCTAAGTTTTAATAATACAAATATCTGACTAAAATATGAAAAAGTCGTTGAAAAGTCTGTTTCAGAAGGTCAAGCTAGCTACCTATCAAATTTTAGTCGATTTGCGTGCAATATTTTGCTAGCTGCTTCCTCTTAATGTGATAAGTTTAGTTATATAGAGGTCTCATATTTTATTAGAGATTTTAAGTTAGAACTTTAAAAATAATTTTTTTTGGTTGGGAGAATTTTTCCCTTTAATAAGTTTTATACTGTTCGAATTTAAATTAATTTGGACCCTAAAAGTGAATACTGGGTGGGAAACAAGAAAAAATCACATGCATACTTATCATGTCTTAGACAATATATTTGGTTGAATTTTTTCAAAAAATTTAAGATTTAGAAAACAATTGAAAAAAAGAATTGGGGAAAATTTGTGTTCGGATAACCCATTAGGAAAATATATTTTGAGAATATATAATTTTGCAATTTGTGTAACAACCTACTTATATTGAGTTTTCGGAAAATGTAATTAATACATTCTATTCCTTGACAATTGTATGATGTGAGAAAAGGACTATTGCATGAATTATATAGTAAAAATATTCTTGGTAAAAAACGTGTGTTATTGTTCATTAAGTATTCATTACTTTGTATTATATATACTAGTATTATTAAAGAATATTAATCATATTAAAATATGATACAAAGAATTCAACTTATGTTAGTAGTGATAGTCGTAAATACCAAAGTCATTCAATTTAAAACGATCTCTTTCCTTTCAACATCTACCAAAGTAAGTAGATTATATTTTTGACTTAGGAAACTTAACCGCAATCACACTTTGTTAACGTTGAAATATCCGACTAATTATTGGAAACAATGCTCAAACAACCAGCCGTAATTCCCTCCTTTCTCATTATTATACTGGATTTATTATGAAAGAATTAGAAGAAAATATACGTGATTTTACATCATAAAAAAAATGACCCATGTTTTTAAGTTTTACCTGATCTAGCCCATATTGTACATATTTTGAAAACACTAGTAAATTCAAATTCTGTGTTCTTACAACTATTGCTTCTAAAAGCTATGGAGTTAATTCTGTGTTCTCACAACCATTACTTTCACTCTCTCTCTCTTCTTCTCACATTTTCTACATATGCTTAAAGGGGCCATGTATTTTTTGCTTCCCCCGTTGTGTCACCTAGTTGCAATGTAAGAAAATTGAAGAGTAGAAGTCCACCATTAAAGGCCATTCAAAGCTTTGCTTTCGAAAATATGATTTTTTGAGTTTGTTAGTTGTTTGGATTGAGTGTTGTTCCAGTTGATTGAAAATGTCAAAAGGAGTTCAAAATTTAAATTTGAAGTGATTTGGAGTAGATTTGAGCAATATTTGAGTTAAATTTCAGAAAAGACGCAAGGAAGAAGACGAAGTCAGTTTTTTGTATAATTATGTAGTATAATCTTGTATATGAGTGTATAAACACATCTTATACACTATTATACACCTTTATACAAGCGTCTATAGATGAACTTCTTTTACGATTTTCAATTGCAATTCTTGTTCAAAACCAGTCCAAATCTCCATTAAATGACTTCAAATTTTATATACAACCTCCTTATACTATTTCTAACAAGTTTAAATAACACCCACTCCAAATTTCTCACAAAATCAAATTCGGAATTTAAATCCACATATTTAAGCTTGTTAAAAATCTAATTTTTACCACCCAAATGGATTTGGTTTGTTGAACGAATATTTGAGTCACAATTACTGATTCGAAAATTAACTTAAAAGCTTGAGCAATTTTAAAAAAAAAGAGTTAAATAGTAATTTCGAGAACCTATTGAAGTTGGATATTGAATCTTAGCCTATTATTTTTGGGCTAGTTGGTTGTAAATTGAAATGTGAGCAAAAAATTGAAAAGTAGGGAGCCCACTTATTCTTACGTGAAATTTCCCATTTATTATTGTTATTATTACAACAAGTCACCTCCTACAAAATATAGGAAAGCTAGAAACTAAATGGAAATAGGATTTAACTTATATCCGACAGTGTACATCATTACAAATTAACTTGTTAGTAAATATTATTTATTTTATATTTCAGGATACTAATTTCATTTGTTATGCTTAACTAGCCGCAACTATATAAGTTGAACTCAAGGAAATAAAAGATCAATAAATTTTAATTTAATATTCATAAGCCTTCATTAACTCTAACATCTCTCCAATTATAACAATCAACTCCATTAGTGATATGATTCTCTCTAATCCAACATCCTCATGATATTAAAAATCATCACTAGGGCCTTTGCTTTTTTTAAAACGCACTAACATTTTCTTTTGTATTTTATTGACATGAGATTTGCCTAAATCCTATGTACACTCCCTTTCGGAACTCAACGTCTCGCGCCACCATCAGCTCAAAGATGTAACATTTACCTAAACTCAGTCGACACTAAGGTTTGTTTCATCAAGCCCAAAAGTTGCAAGTTGGTTGACTTTGATACCATATGTAACCCGGTTCATTAGTAATAATATCCTATGTAAATTTGGATCAGCACGACTTTAAAATATGTCACCAAGAATTAAGGCATGTCTTCCCATTTTCCGAATATTGAATTTGTCTAATGTTACTCCATTCATTTCAATTTATGTTTCACATTCGCTTCTCGAGATTTAAATTTTGTAAAGTTTGACCAACATTTAAAAATATATTTTTTTAATCATATTGGCATGAAAATTGTAACTTATAGTACTTTTCGTATAGTTTTTGAATATCTAAATTTTTACTTTAAAATATCAAGTTGAACTAATCAAAAAAGTTTGGAAGATGCATCAAATAGACTATCAATAAACGAAATGTATCATATAAATTGAAACAGTAAAAGTACAGAGAGAGAGAGAAAGAGAGAGAGAGAGAGAGAGAGTTGAACTCCCCTTCTTCCTTCTCGCCTTGGTAGCATCTTCCTTCTCATCTAAAGAGGCTTCCTTCCAAATCGAGCTCGGGCCCAGCCCACTGACAACCTTGAAAAAAGAATTCTTTCTCTCTTCCGATCTGGTTCGTTGTGTGTGTGTATATATATATATATCAACAAGACGCTAGTTACTTCTCGTGGTGTTTTCTTTTTAATCTTTTTATCAAGATATCAAATGAGAAATAAATAGAAAGGCATTTCCTACAAAAATTCTCTTCATTCTTGATGTAGAAATATATTTCACATGTTTATAAAATAATGAACCTATTACTATTTAAGCAGTTTAGTAAGGTTTTCTTTAATTAATTTTTTGCAAAATAATTTTTAAATATTTTAAATAGTTAACTATTGTGACTTATAATATTTTTTATGTAGTTTTTAAATAAATAAATTTTATTTCATAATACTTAAAAATTTATATCTATATTTATAATGAAAATTAATTAATTTGATCCTATACTCCCCGAAAAGATTCAAATAAATTCAAATGGATAGAGTATAACTTATTAAACCCTTGAACCAAAAAGCAAAGAAGAAAATTGAGAAAATAGAAAGATAAATAAAATAAAAAGAAGTAACGTGGAAACTTAGGTCGGGTGGAAGACACAATAACCAACAATCATCAATGACTAAAAAAGACATAAAACCAACATCATCTGCTTTGTTTTTCTCTCCTTTTTTGACAAAAGATGAATAACTTTAATCATACATTACTTTTATTTTAATTTAAAAAAACTACAACTAGTACTCTTTTATACTTAAAAAAATGAATTGGATAGCCCACAGGAGGCTTCCTCTCTCCAACCAAGAAACCTCCTCTAAACCTCCACTTGACGCAAAAATTTCCACCCTTTATAATCCTCCCTCTTCACTCTTTCTTTTCCACTCAATTCAACTCAAATTCCCTTTAATTCTTTCATTTTTTGAACAAGAAAAAAATCCTCTCCCCCCCAAATTTTCCTTTACAAGTTTTTTCATTTCTCTAAAAGATTTAAATGGATCTTGATTTGATAAGGGAGCATCTTCTTGATGATGTTGTTTTTATGGAAAATTATTGCTCATCATCAGAAACAAGTAGAACCCTTTATTCTCAAAACTCCTCTGTTTCTGAATCATTTGATTCTTTAACCTCTGATCTCAAAATGGAAAATTTCTCTTTTGATCCCACAAACTTAGCTCAAAGTTTGAACCAAGAATTTAATTCTTTTGAATTTGAACCAAAACCCAACTTAGTACCTCGTATAACAATCTCAAATTCCCCCAAAAAAACAAGTTTTAATGAAAGAAAACCTTCTCTAAATATTACAATACCTAATGTCAAGAAAACAGAGGAATCAAAAACAGAGGAGCCAAAAACAGAGGAATCAAAAACAGAGTACTCTGTTCAGAAGAAATATAGAGGAGTAAGGCAAAGGCCATGGGGGAAATTTGCTGCGGAAATTCGTGACCCGACCCGAAAGGGAACTCGGGTTTGGTTAGGAACTTTTGAAACTGCAATAGAAGCAGCTATGGCATATGATAGAGCAGCATTTAAGCTAAGAGGGAGTAAAGCAATCTTGAATTTCCCACTTGAAGTAAGCAACTTTAAGCAAAAAAGTAACGTGATTGAGCAAAGGGTTAGTTCAAATTTAAATTCTTGTGGGAAAAGGGTAAGAGAAGTGGTGAATGAAGATGAAGTTGTTGTGGTAAAAAAGGAGGTTAAAAGAGAGCAAATGGTAACTCCATTGACACCTTCAAATTGGTCTTCAATTTGGGATTGTGGAGATGGAAAGGGTATTTTTGAAGTGCCACCTTTGTCACCATTTTTGGTTTCATAAAATGGATTGAACAAATAAAGGGATGTCCGAAAAAGAAAAATATGGGGTCCCTTTTGGGAAATTGGATAAAAGTTAAAAGAAATCTATCATAAACATCTCTAACCTCACCGGTAAGAGTAAAGTTGTATATATATATTACCTATTACCTTTTCGGACCGTAAGAAACATGAGGTGATGGGGTAGAATGAAAAGGTTGTTTGGATCATGCAATTTTTTGTTCTCTTTGATTTGATTGACTTTCAATGTAAATATGAACTCAGTCTAGAAATTTTGTTCAATTGGTTTATTCCGTTTGTATGCAATGGAAATGGAAGTAATGTAAATTCCTTTTTTTTTATTTTTTATTTGGTCTTTTTCTAGTCTATTCCAAAAAATAATTATATTTATATATTTAAAAATAATTTAACTTTATATTTTTTATTTTATCCTTAGTGAGATGATTTGTTGTCACCTAAATATCTAACACTTTAATTTATTAGACCATAAATTTCAAAAAAAATTGTTTTCATTCTTAAACTTCTTGCCAAATTAAAAAGTACTGTCATAATTTAGGAATGGAGGGAGTATTAATTCGAATTTATCTGGCCCTACTCCGAATTAATAGAGTTTTTGGGTTTAAAATGGCGAATATTTTTCTTTTAACAAAAGGACGTTCCCTAGTAAGAATGAATATTTTTCTTTTAATAAAAGGACGCTCCCTGGTAAGAATGACATGCACAAATCTGAAAATGGTCCAAATCTTTTTTTTGGGTTGGTTGGGGGGGGGGGTTAGAAATCG